TGGAACTTGGTGTGGGCGGGCGGGGCGTGGGCGTGGAGGTGGCCGCGGCCTCTGCAGGTGTGCAGGGCTGTGCGCGGGGCTGGTCCACCTTCCCCCCTGCTGCCCAGCTGGACCGGCCAGCCTCTGCTCACCCCAGGGAGCCCGGTCAGGGGCGGGGGGCGCTCCCTGCACTCCTCGTGCCAGCGGGCCTGCTGAGCGCCAGGGCGGCCGGCCGGCCTGAGTCCGGTGGGGGCGCCTCTATCTCTGTCCCTGTCCTGGGGTGGGCACGCGGAGCCTCTGCCCCCCGCGGGCCCTCCCACACCTTCCCACCGGCGTCCACGCCCCTTCTGCAGACGGCACAGCCCCACGCTCTGCAGGAGCAGTGGCTGCTCTGGGCTTGTGGGTTCTCCCTGCGCCCCACCAGCCGTGGGCGGGGCCAGCGCCTCTGCGCTCTGCAGACCCCAGCCGTGGCCCCCAGGGTTTCCCTCGCCAAGGGGTGCAGAACCGCGGTCCGTTCACTCCGCAACTGGCTTCTGTCTGGGGCGAGTTCCCCGCCGGCTGGCGAGCGCACAGGGCCCGGGACTCCCCAGAAGCTGCGGGCGGGGCTGCGCGGCGGTGTGGGGCTCTCCGGGTCTGCCAGGCCCGCTGAGCGGCAGCTGGGAGCTGCCTCCTGGACACTGGGCCGGTCTCGCGGGGGGTCCTGGGGCTGGAGGCGCCTGTTGTGGGGCAGGGGCAGGCCGCCCCGCTTTCCCCAGACGGTGTCCACGCAGGAGGTGGGTGCCCCTTGGCTGGGGGCGGGGGTCTGGGCAGAAGCCTGGACTAAGGTGGGAGAAGCCAGCAGAGCGACTGGAAATCTCACGGGCTCACGGAGAAGCCAAGGAGCCCTGTGCGTGGAGGGAGCGGAGGCCCCGGGCGGCGAGGAGGCGAACCCCACAGCCCACCCACGCCTCCCGGCTGCCAGCGAGGGTCAGCCCCGCCCACAGCCACATGGGACCCCGCCCCTCCTCCCGGCTAGCAGCGAGTCCCCCAGAACTAAACAGAGGCCCTCCCTGGGGAGCAGGGGTGAGTCGCAGGCTGCGAAGCTGTCCACAGACGCTGGGCCTGAGTCCACCCCCACCAGGGAGGGACACCGCGCCCCCCACTGCAGCGGGTCTCAGTGGACCCACCTGTTCTGCTCCCCACTCTGTCTCTGGGGCGTCCTCTCACCCCACACCTCTGGCCTGCACCCAGCTCTTTTACTCAAGGAAATAAAGAATTCATTTATAAACAGCAAAACGCCTGCAGCGTCCTCCCTCGGGGCCGAGGCTCTGGTCAGGAGGCCACAGCGAGGCGGACCCTGGTTGCCGGGCCTCCGCCTGATCTGGGTTCACCCCAAAACCTGGTGCCGGGAAGGCGGCCGACGTGGCGCCCCCAGGGACACCGCCAGGAATGGGCCTCCCAGCGCCTGGGGGGGCGCCCCCACGGGCAGCGGGAAGGGGGGTGCAGCAGGCCAGCAGGGGCTGGGGCCGCACTCGCAGCCGCTAAGCAGAAGGACTCGGGGCAGGTAGGGCGGGCAGCACTCCTGGACTGGCCCCCAGGAGGCACCCAGCTGACTACCGGGCGCTTATGAGCTGGCCACACTGGGCAGAAAACAGCACCAAGCTGCGAGGGCCGGGCAGGAGCCCCAGGGACAGTGAAGCCAGGGAGGTGTCAAGCCAACAGCCCCGGGCACCCAGCACCCCGCACCCCGGCACTCACCCCGCACCCCACGCACCCCACGCACCCCCCTCCAGCGCGCGCCATGGCCTCCACCCTGTCCGTCTGCTCCAGCGACCGCAGCTA